AGGGAAAACAAAGTGTCTGTGCTGGCCTTGCCACTACAACTCATGTTTCACAGGACAAAAGATGGTACAACAAATTTCCAAATTAGAGCCTTACTTAACTACATACCTGTTTGATCTGGAATGATTCAGTGGGGCCATCCAATTAGCAGTTTAGAAATGGCAACAAATCTTTATTACTAAATAGCAATTTTTCCCCCCCTCTGAGCCAGTTGGGAAGCCCCTCGAGTGAAAAGTTGCTGAAACCCTTTTACGAGCAGCATTCCCAACATGGCCAGAAAGGCCGAAATGGATGACATTGATTTGATCAACTCAGTCATTAAGGGTGTTACTGCCAGCAGGGATACTGCACCGTCAGCTGCCCTGAAACAATCCATAGCCAAAATAGCTGTAAGGGAGACTCCAATTAAACTCCCTCTTATCTTCCTGAGGAGTAAGAAGCTCCAGGTCCTCACTGCTGCTTTGACTCCCAGTTTCCTCTCAGTTTCTCCACTGAGTAGCTTTTAAGTTCCCATTTGTGGCACCAGTTGCAGGACCAGCCTGCTCAATAAACTGGCTGGTGCAGCAGCCTTCCAACACTGCTGCGGCAGAGGTGAGCCCAAAGGAGTCTGACCCTGCCTGACAGTGAACCCCAGGAGCACTCAGTTCCGTAATAAATAATGCAGGGCAAGTATAGAGAAGGCATGAGACGTGGGAAATGTGATATCTCAGTTCTGAAACCCAGGTGGACCAAGTTGGCAGTCTTGGATAGAAACAGAATAAGTGTGAGAAATCACTCATCCTTAATAAATACTAGTTTCATAGGCCTTGCTGGTTGTGAGAAGCATTCAGCTTCAGCAAGTCATTGAAAACAAAATGTGCATTTTTTCACTTCAGAGGATGCAGGATTTGATTAAGTACAAAAAGAGGGAGCCTAGTGAGTAAAAGGACTAGACTCTCACTTCAGGGAATTCAGGTCGAGCCCTCTGTGAAACGAGTTCATGTCTCAGCTCAGCATCTCCAGCAGATACTAGCTCACATCACAAAACCACTGTAAAGGATTTGGCACAGTATGGCATATCTGAGGATCCCTGCTCAGAAAGGGAGCAGGGAGGGAGGAGGCTTAGCCTGCATTAGTGCAGGACTGTATCATCCCTTACCTGTAGAAATCAAGCCTGGGGAGGTCTGGACAGGACGGGTTGGATCATCTTTAACCTGGAATCATATCTGCCAAGTGGAGACTATTGGAGTTTTATTTTACATTTGAAATCAAATCCTTTCCTTCCTCTCTGGAGATGGTAGCACTGAAGAGGAGGACTGAGGTGCCCTGTGCAAGGCCCTCTCTCAGAAAGGAGGAGAGAAGGTATACACATAAGGGAAAACAACTCAACATGGGTGAATCTGTAGCCACACTAGCATGTGGTGGGCTGTGTCCAACTAAACTCCAGCCAATTGTGTCCAGGTCCTCCTGCCGTGGTGTGGCTCAGAGATTGCTCTGCAGCTTCCAGATAAGCTCCCCAGGGTTCACAAAACCTAGCACACCATGGCGAAGGCACAGCTACATGCAGTACTTGGAAAGGCAAAGGCAAATCAACAAAACCTGTGAAGTGAGTGCACCTAAATTAAAATATGTCAATGATGTAATCTTTAGTTCTCAGGAAGAATTAAAACATAGCAAAAAAAGGCCACTGTATTAGATAGCGAGAACGCTCTCCTGACTTCCCTCAGCATCTCTCTATAGATGAATTCCAGATGTATTCATGGGGGACCTGGGCAAGCCTAACTGGTCCCTCTCTCTCTCAAAGGCCATTTTCTCTCTCTCAGCCCATTTGTTCCACAGTGAAAATAAGCAAACATCCACTTTTTTTCATGCAATATGATTTTTCTCAAACCTTATACCTTGGTCACCTTCAGGGTTTGATACACCATCTTAAGATTTGCTCATTAACGCGTCTCAGTGCATTCCTCTTTTGAGGACCCAAAGCAGAGGGATGTGTTCAGTAATAAAAAAATAAATTCATATGCAACAGGCTCTGAGCAGTCCAATACCTTATGACTTCAGCTGTAAATGCTTCACTGACTTTTTTGCAATTGTGAACCGGTTTACATTACAGTGGGAGAAAGTGCAGATGCCCTCTAGTGGTGTATTTCTTTTAAATTTCTGCTGCTGTGCCCTAAAGATGCTCCCAAACAGAAGACCATGTGCCCTCCTTTGCAGTGCTCTGCATAAGGGAGACAAATCACAGTGCAGCCAGAAAAGAGAGAGAGGATAGCATATATAACTTCAACTCTGTGTAAAGCCAGGTTGAGGCATGACATTGAATCAGATAGCTCTGTTCCAGACTTGCTGACCTTTCAAACCAGTAGGCCTCATGATAAAAACACCTCCAAGTTGACCAAATGTGGCATCATCTCCAGATCTTAGAAAAAGTTTGATTTTCTTGTCAATCCCATTCCCTTCCGACATTGACCTCTTTCCCCAGACAGGTTGTCCATAAGAAGCAATCTCCAACAATTAGCTGCCAGAGCATGTTAACTTTGCCAAGAATTGGGAACAAGCCATTCTGCCCTGTGAAAAAGACAGGTCTCAAGAGATCTTCAGACAATACCAACCAGCCAAAATACCATCAATGAAAAAGATAGGAGCCTGATGGAAAATTTTCAACAGATCCTTGTTACCGCTCTGGCCTTGGGTGGGATTATTGTCCAGCCCTATTTTCCTCTAGAGCAGCTAGAAAATGGTATAACCAAAGTTAAGTACAGGCAATGTATTTATCTGTTCCAAGCAGCACAGAGCAGACTGTAGTTTACTGTATTTACAGTTCTAGCCACAGAGGCATATATAGACCAATCCGATGCGTTCATTCAGTGTTCAACTTGTTACCACTCCATGATAGTGGATAGAAAGCCAAAAATCTCACCCTCCTCACTTTACCTACCGAAGGCAGGTGCCACTCACCAAGGCATGTTCAGGAAACGTTTTTTCCTCCCTCTACAGGAGAACTACTTTAGACTCTTAGAACACCATGATTACTAGTTTTAGCAACCACAGCCAAAAACCAAGGACAAAACCACCAGTCTTTCTGTGGCTGTTTCTGATCCTGTCTTGTCTATCCCAACCATAGCGAGATGTTCTCTTGCAAGTACAGCTGTAGCAGTTTAAGAAGTTACTGTGGATGGAGAGTCTTCAAATGAACCCGCCTCAGCTGGCACTGTGAAACAGAAGAGGAGTGTTAGTGCAGCTGCTTATTCAAATTCTGCACAGGGTTTTAATGAAGAGATGGGGTTGGTGATTCCTTGTACTACATTAGGTAGCCTTGAAAGAGGACCCTTAACTATGGTCTTAGACTACAAACTTTATCAATTATTGGAAGATAGAGCTAGATTGGCAGTTTAGGTGACATTTTTAGCTGAGGCTGATTGCTCCCAATATATTTGAAAGAGCCAGACACTGCACTTTTTTCTCCCAGAACACAATCATTTCTGGAGCACTTACAGTAAATGTAAAGAGAGCCAATAACACTCGAATCCTGGAATGAGGATTGGTGGTCTGTCCAGCCTAGCATATTGTTACATTATCAGTCAATCAGCCAAGCCATTTAAATTAGGAATGTAAAATCTCTTCTAGATAAAACCTAAAGGTTTGTGCAGCACTTAGCACAATGATTGGGGCCGCTAGAATTATCATACTACAAATAAGAATTATAGCAGAAGGGAGCAGTCACGAGACTGTGTGTGAAATAGTATCAATGTCCAGAGTGCACCTCTGAGGAGCTTTTTGGCAGGGTGGGGCTGTAGGATCAAAATAAACAATACAAATACATTGCAAACAATGCTTCCATTGAAAACAGCCTCCGAGTCCTAATCAGACCTGAAGACATGCTGTGCTCCTGATATCCTCAAGTCTTAAATTCCACATCCTTGGCAATTTGGTTGGAGCACACCAGAAGAAGATGGATAACACGGGAAGGGAGGGGAACCTACATGGATCTAAGAATTGCTCCATGTCTTCTGAGGAGTGAATCATTACTGATGACCAACACATGGAGGGGGGTGGCCAAGGGCCCCTGAGGTTGTCTGACACTCAAGGAACAGCATTATGAAAGCAGACATCTTATAAATAATTATAAAAAAAATCTGTTCCATTCTTTTGCACTGACCCCAGATGGGCAAGCTATCCCCTTAAAGATGGTCTTTCTCTGCTCAGTCAAAAGCAGTATGAAAATGAAGCATTTGACAAAGAATCTGTGTGCATTTGCAAAATACATTTTTCAAGTGCCACCCAAAGTAGCTGCTTGATAAAGTCATTATGTATCTAAGGTTCAAGCCACTTGCCAGCAATTGTTGTCATACAGAAAGGACATTACTTCTTCTTTTTTGTCTTGCCTTATACAACTATTTCTGAGAAAGGAGTCAGTGAGAAAAAAACACACAGTGCTAATTACAGCAGGGCAAGAAGCTTTGCTATTAACAGACATTTAACATCAGTTGTGACTTCTACCAAACAGGCTGTGCTTGTGTATGTCTTATTGGAAGATCCAACTTCCAGTGTTTGGGGTATAATTTCAAAAAAACGTTCAGTACATCTCTGTCTCTGCCAAAAAGAGACATCAAGGCTACACGTTACACAAAAAGATGAGCATTCTCTTGGGGAAAATGGGTGTCCTGACCATCTACCTACTTGGTGTTAAAAATACCCACTACAATTCTTTATTTTTGGTATTTTGTTTAATTTTATAAAGGTCCTTTTGCCTGTAAACCCTTTTTCTCTTCTGCATCCCTAACCAGACTTTCTCCAGCTGCCTCTCACACACCTCCTGTGCCCTTTCTGCATGTACCAGCCTCAGTGAATGGAATTGAATCCAGGTCAAGAAATTCTTGCCTCTTCCTGGGTCCTGTGCCACTACTCATGGGGCAGTGCTGCATAGCATCTAACAAGTAAAAATACAGGATTTGCAACCATAGCGTGCCCTATCTCGAAGTACAAATGCAGCACGGTTTGGCTCTAGTTCCAGAGGAGCAGCCTGCAGAAAAGTGGCTTTGGGGACGTAAGTTAGGGCCGGTTAATAGCAAATAGGATTTTCCCCTGCTTCAGAATAGGCTCTCAGGTTTTGAGAAGAGAGAAGACACTAAACTTGCAGAAATGCAGACAAGTTATTTTAAGCAGTTCCTATTCTTTGGTTTCCCACTGGATACAGCTACAAGCAAAATGCAGGGTTATGTTGAGATAGCTGTGCTGCATTTAAACATGTTAACTCAGGCACCAGTAGCTGTGTAAGCACAGCAGCATGCAGCTCAGTGCAGGGCTAATTTGCCCTGATGCTTGTTTAACACCAGCTTGTATAATTCCACAGTGATTTGCAGTAGCCATACCCAATTTCCACATCAGTTGCAGCTGGGTATAGCCTTCTCTCCTGTAATTGAGTTACATACCCTCCTTGTGCACTTGCAGCT